GGGAGAGGGGGCTGCACAACCCAGTGGGGTAAATTTACAGAGACCGGCAATGAGAAAGATGGATCGATATGAGGACAATGTGTGGTTAGTTGGGGTTAATTTTCAATAGCACTCCCACCAAGATAATTTTCTTTTTAGGGACCATTTCTCATCATCTTTGACCCTATTAGAGAGAATATGTCTCACTCCCGGTCATAGCGTCTCACTCCCATCATACCTTCTGCCTGCGGAGTTTTCCCTGGTCTCCCACCAGTGCCTGGATGTTCTCCCTGGCTGTGATGACCTCCGGGGGCTCCATGATGTCAGACTGGTCATCTCCTGTGTCAGAGTCCTTCTCGCTATCTTCCTTTCCATACGATTCCTTCATCAGTTCTTCCCTCCACTTGCGGACTCGTCTGGTTTTTTCTTGCTCCCAGCTAAAAAAAGTCACCAAACAGAAATTGTAATTAGCTGAGAATTTATTCCTGAGGGACTCTGGGTTATCTTTTGTGGCTATAAATACACCATCGTAGTTGGAAACCGAGCCAAGAACCTAGGAAGAAGCCATCCATTTAAAAGCAACCCTTCTAGGACAGGTTCTCTTGATAGGCTAATCTCTCGAATCTCTTGATTCAATTTACCTTTCCGGCTTCCCTATCCCCCTCCTCCCTGTTCATCCATTGGAGCCCTGAGTCTTGACCCTGTGTAAGCTCCATGTTGGAGCTGACAGAGGGTTTAGGATCTCCTACCCACCAACATGATAGTCTTCAAGCCTACTGGCAATTCATGTGCTGAGCACTGACTCCTGCGGGGATGAGAGCACGTCACCATACCTGAGAGTACTTGGCATTTCCGAGGGCTCAGATAGACGAACGGAGCATAGGGGAGACAGCCATGGTGAGCATTGGCCAGATGTGGCAAGAGTACCTGTCACTTTGCCCTGAATGGACCAATTGATAGTTTTTCTTTAAGGTGCCTACTGGAACAGTTTTCAGCCTTTTGGCCAGTTAGACATACTGGGAATGGATAGACGAAGATGAGGCCACATTGGAAAGATCTGCTGAGTGTTTCTGTAAAGATCTTTCACATGGAAGAACTAAGGATGGTCAAGATTGTGTCCAAGTGTCCAACCACCGTCTACAGTCCGCAGATATCTTTAGATCTCCAGACATTCTGTTACAGTAAGGCCTACAACTAGGTCACCATGAAGACCCCTACTATGAACTGCCAGTCTCCAACAGGGAAGATGGCCAGAAGCAAGTCATCTAAAGCAGCTCACTACATGTCCTTATCAAGCACCGATTTTGTCCTAACAAAGCTTCCTTCTAAGAAACATGGAAGTTCTCCAATTTGACATTGCAGAAACTTACTCTGCGACGATGAGGAAATGTCGAGACGTCTCCATCTGTATTTCCATGTGGTTGCTCTCCAGTTCCATCAGCTGCCTCCTGATGTCCATCTGCTCTCTGAAGGCCTTTATCAGCTGTTCTCTAAGCTGGTCCATCTCCCGGCGGCCGAAGGGCAAGGTGTGGAGCTGGACCTCGGCTAGAGGGCAAACACAGGCTTAGAAGAGTCCGGATCAAAAGGTTTGATCAGCTTATATCATTCACTAAGCCTTTAATCCCATCCTGCTCTGGGGTAAAGGTGTGGAATACAGGAAGTGTAGAGTTACCCTGGATGTTGCGGATGTCGCCCCTCTCACTCCGGATCTGTTTCAAGCCTTGCTCGTCAATCTTTTCCTTTAGTCTTTGGATCTCGTTTCTCAGCTCGGAGATGATGGTGGTGTACTGGGCGATGTGGTAGGACACGTTTAGGAGGTTCCGTTTCACCTGGTGGACAGCGACACAGATAACAATAAGCAGTCATTTTGCATACAGACTGCCACCAGGTAATGCCCCCATGGTGGAAAGAACTGCAATCCAATGAATGAAAGGGGTGGAGCAGGGACAGTCAGGCTGGGGAGGGAAAGGACCAGATGATGCTGGTCGCCCTCTGGGCAGGAAATGAGGGTCGCTCTATCTGACTTGCTGCAGCTTCTTGAGAAGCTTGCAGTGTGCAGTGACACCGGATTAAGCCATTTCAGTCCAGGAGTTGAGCCTGTACAACTGTGCAAGACTGAAGGGGAGGACGGAGGTCAGATAGAAGACTGAAGGGGAGGACGGGGGTCAGATAGAAGACTGAAGGGGAGGACGGAGGTCAGATAGAAGACTGAAGGGAAGGACGGAGTTCAGATAGAAGACTGAAGGGGAGGACGGAGGTCAGATAGAAGACTGAAGGGGAGGACGGAGGTCAGATAGAAGACTGAAGGGGAGGACGGAGGTCAGATAGAAGACTGAAGGGGAGGACGGAGGTCAGATAGAAGACTGAAGGGGAGGACGGAGGTCAGATAGAAGACTGAAGGGAAGAATGGAGGTCAGATATAAGACTGAAGGGAAGGATGGAGATCAGGTAGAAGACTGAAGGAGAGGATGGAGGTCAGATTTTTGCTGTCCATGATCACCCCTCTACACCCTGGGCAATGCTTCATATTATGGATCAGGAGGATAATATAAACCTACATTCAGTTATTATAGGAGTTCATTGAGCACTCACCCGGGTCTTTATATTTTTGGCACGGTCGGCGTAGGTGAGAGTGTTTCGGGACTCCTCGAAGGCACTGTTAGCGGGACTGATGTGCGCAATCATGACAGTTCGGCTGTTCCCACCCAAAGAATCCTGATGAGTGAAATAAAGACCGCATACATGAATACAAGGTGTTCTCTGATTGGACGAGGTGGTGATTGTGATGTCTCCGCCTCACCCCATCAGAGATAAAAAAATTTAAAAAATAACTTTTTTTGCAGTTTAATTACTGAACTATTCCCGGGCTTAGGAGGCAAGGAGCCGTGATGAAGGGGGGAGGGTTTTGAGCCCCCCGAAATGCGTTTGTTATTTATAGTAAACTTATTTAAAATCTTATACTGGACTATTAGTGGAACGACACTTCTATTCTCTACCTCGTTTGCATGTCTCTAAAGACCGTTCACAAGAGTTCTCAGGTGGGCTCTGCAAGGGGGCGTAACTAGAAATCACAGGGCCCCATACAAAATTTTGCTATGGGGCCCTGTGATTTCTAGTTACGCCCCTGTAAATGCATATGCTTATAAATGTGATACACAGGAAGTTTTATCTTTATATGCTTTCCTCTCTATTATGCTGTATTCCTGTATACATGTATTGTACTGCTAAGCAAGCATTCCTCAAGATCTCAGTGCGTCCTCTAAAACACATCACCAACACGGTAAACCCCAACAACCAATCAGAGATCAGCGGTTCAGTGCACTGAGATGAATGGAAGATACATTCTGATTGGTTACTATTGGCGGACACTGACAATTGTTCTTTATTCTATTGAAGGAGATACACTATAATGCCAAAAGTATTGGGACGCCCCTCTAAATCATTGGATTCGGGTGTTCCGTGACATTTCCCGGCTACTGAATATTCCGCGGTCACCTGTTACTGGTATTATAACAAAGTGGAAGCAACTGGGAACAACAGCAACTCAGCCAGGAAGTGGTCGGCCACGTCACATGACAGAGCGGGGTCAGCGCATGCTGAAGCGCAGTGCGCAGAAGTCGCCAACTGTCTGCAGAGTCAATAGCTACAGACCTCCAAACTCCATGCGGCCTTCAGATTGGCACAACAACAGTGCGTAGAGAGCTTCATGGAATGGGTTTCCATGGCCGAGCAGCTGCATCCAAGCCGCACATCACCAAGTGCAATGCAAAGCGTGGGATGCCGTGGTGTAAAGCGCGCTGCCACTGGACTCTAGAGAAGTGGAGACGTGTTCTCTGGAGGGACCAATCACGCTTCTCTGTCTGGCAATCCGATGGGCGTGTCTGGGTTTGGCGGTTGCCAGGAGAACGGTACTTGCCTGACTGCATTGTGCCAAGTGTAAAGTTTGGTGGAGGGGGAATTATGGGGGGGGGTTGTTTTTCAGGGGTTGGGCTTGGCCCCTTAGTTCCAGTGAAGGGAACTCTTAAGGCATCAGCACACCAAGACATTTTGGACAATTTCATGCTCCCAACTTTGTGGGAGGAGTTTGGGGACGGCCCCTTCCTGTTCCAACATGACTGCGCACCAGTACACAAAGCAAGGTCCATAAAGACATGTATGGGGGAGTTTGGGGCGGAGGAACGTGACTGGCCGCACAGAGTCCTGACCTCAACCCCATAAAACACCTTTGGGATGAATTAGAGCGGAAACTGCGAGCACCTCCCCCAACATCAGTACCTGACCTCACAAATGGCCAACATTCCCATAGACACACCCCTAAACCTTGTGGACGCCTCCCCAGAAGAAGCGGAGCTGTTATAGCGGCAAAGGGCGGAGCCAACCCGATACTGAACCCTACGGACTAAGACTGAGATGCCATTAGAGGGCGGAGACAACCCAATACTGAACCCTACGGACTAAGACTGGGATGCCGTTAAAGTTCATGTGCATGTAAAGGCGTCCCAATACTTTTGGTAATATAGTGTATTTCGTCAGTGAGCCTCTGCCATAGTTTGGGGATCTTATAAGGAAGAGTGAGGACATTATAATGATATCTGGATGAAAGAGTGAGGACATTATAATCATATCTGGATGAGAGAGTGAGGACAGTCTTACGAGAGATACATTTGTATCACTTCCACAATTGTATAAAACATTGAATATAATTATAATAAAGTTCTTCTTCTGGATCCTGAAATGACAACAATGTGACGACGCTCTGCGCTTTACCTTCAGGAGTCGGGTGAGTTTGCTGTCGCGGTAGTTGACGTATTTGTTCCCTCCTCTGTCGCTGAGCGCGTTGATACAATTTCCGAGAGCCAGCAGGGATCGGTTGATGTGAGCGCCCTCCTTCATCCTCTGTCCTCGGTTCTGTGTCTGCGTTACAACGACGGTTACAAAGAATCTCCACCGAATAAGCCGAATCACAGAGCTAAGCAGTCACACCGTCCACTTGGTGCCAATTTAAAAATCAGAAAGTTGACTCACTCTCGTCACAATCCAATCGAAACATTTCCCTTGCACTTTGGCAGGCATCAAATGCCTTGGCTTTGCGGTGTGTGAGCAGCACTGGAGGGAGACCACGACAGTCTTTTCTCCAGGGAAGGCATTTGCTCCTTTCAAGTGCTCATTATTGCTGGCTCAGCTGCGAATTGACAGTTGAGGACAGGTCCTCTTTGGAGTATGTCTACGCTCCATTTGCTAATGGCGGCCACACGCTGCTCGGGTTGCGGGGGCGAGTCAATCGACTTTTGTCAAAGGGGCCGGCCCAAAAATTCTTAGCTGGACGGTGATTGTAGTTAATCACCTGCCGCTGTCAGAATATAATAGTCCGGGGGAAGGGGGGATGGGGGAATCAAGCGTTTGTCTAGCTCAACCTTGGCACTCTAGCTGTGGTGAAACTACAAATCCCATGCTGTCTGGAGTCATACCTGTGGCTCTCAGAGTCTTGCAATGCCTCATGGGAGTTGTAGTTCCATAACAGCTGGGAGTGTTGAGGTTGCCTACCCCTGGTCTAGCTTAAAGCACAAAGTATCACAAACAATCCTGTTTCCACTCTTTTTCCCCATCCAGTGATCTCCGGCAGCCTCTTTCAGCCACTTCCTGTCCACACGCACTCGCTTCAGCATCAGCTCAGATCATGGCTTTGGACCGGCTTCCTGATGGTGACAACGGTGGACAATGTTTGTATAATGCAGGGGTGACCAAACTCCGGCTGCTGTGAAACTACAAAATGTCATGAGGCATTGCAAGATTCTTACAGCCAGAGATGTGACTCCCAGAGACAGGTGCATGATGGGTAGTTTCACCACAGCTGGAGGGCTGGAGTTTGCCTACCCCAGGTATAATGTGTGTCCATCAGGGGAGTGATAGGGTGACAACACAGGAGCCCAACTGGGAGACAGGGACAGTGTGTTGTCACCCTGTAACAGGAAGTGCCTGACCAAGGAACTTTTTAGCAGGATTATTCTAATGAAAGCCGCAGATTTATAAATATTTGAAACATTTTGCAATGACATGAACATGTTAAAGCTTCTACGAGCAGAACATGAAGATGATATTGTATCATGTGCGGATTAGGACCGGTCTTCTTTCCTTCTCTTCACAATGGACCATTTGTCCTGCCGCGGATTTAAAATTACAGGTTAGGTCCCTCCTCCGGCGAATACCTGCCTGTGTCTGCAAACACTGCCAGGTATTCTCTCAGCTTTGACGTGACCTTTCAATAAATGTTCTTCAGTTTTAAAAGGCACAGTCCGCCATTTGCAAAAATGGTTTCATTTTACACCCCCGAGTATAATAATGCGTAAAATGAAACTTTGTTACAAATAGCCAACAAGGTCCTTTTTCAGGCACTTCCTGTTACAGGGTGACAACGCTCTGTCCCTGGCTCCTGTGTTGTCACCCTGTCACTTGCTCCCCTGGTGGACACACATTATACCAGGGGTGGGGCAAACTCCAGCCCGTCAGCTGTGCTGAAAGTACCCATCATGCATCTGTCTCTGGCTGTGAAAATCTTGCAATGTCTCATTGGATTTGTAGTTTCACATCAGCTGGAGGGCTGGAGTTTGCCCCACCCACATTATACAGACATTGTCCACCGTTGTCACCCTCAGGAATTGTCTTTTCCTGTGATGGGTCTGGGCTGATCTACAGGGAGCGGCGCAAGAAAATCAGAGCAATTACCGGCAGCAACCAAGCAGGCTTCACCATGATATGAAACAAGATGTCTGATTGGTCTCCGCTCCTTTTTTTAAATCTGCAGCTTTTAGTAAACAATCCCAGTGATCCCACTCTAAGGGTCCCTTTTCAGGCACTTCCTATTATAGGGTGACAACGCTCCATCCCAGTCTCCCGATTGTGCTGCTGTGTTGTCACCTTGCCCAGTGGGCTTCCGATGGATAAAACGTATGGCTGTTTCAACACACATTACGCAGACATGGTCCACTGTTGTCACCATCAGGAAATCTACCCTGCCATGCAGCCATTGCTGGAGTGCTTGTAGACAGGAAGTGGCTGCAAAGAAGCTGCTGGAGAGTAATACACCTTACACAGCCATGGGCAACTGTTGTCTGTAGGGATGCACGGATACCTGTTTTTCAGGATCGAGTACGAGCACCAATTTTTTTTTCCCCCCGGTACTCTCCGTTCCCGGAAGTCCCATTAAGGAAGCCGGGCGGCGGGTTATGACTCGCCGCCCGGCTTCCTGATACCGGAAGTTCAAGTATCAGGAGCATTTAGTACTCGCCCAAATACTTGGTATTGGCACCGGTGCATCCCTAGTTGTCACCGCCAGGAAACCCGCCCTGAGAAATGCCATGCAGCTAACACTGTAGCGCATGTAGACAGGAAGTGGCTGCAAAGAGGCTACAGGAAATGAATACACATTACACAGACATGGTCAACTGTTGTCACCATCGGGAGAAATGCCATGTAGCCCACTGGACAGGAAGGGGCTGCAAAGAGGCAGCAGAAGTTAATCCAGCCCCGCCCCTGTCACGGCAGAGAGCCGTGACAGGATCGAGAGGTGAGCGAACGCCGGTATGTGTTCCCTCACCTCCCAATCTACTGAGCCGACCTGTGACAGTCTCATTGTCACAGCTCGGCTAGAACTATGGAGGTGAGTGGAAATCACTCATCTCATAGTTCTCCTTTAATTCACATTACACAGGCATGGTCAACTGTTGTCACCGTCGGCGACACACCCGCCCAGAGAAATGCCACACAACCCACTGAACAGGAAGGGGCTGCAAAGCTCCAAGGCTTCAGGACTCCTTTCCTTATAGTTACATAGCAAGTCCATGAAGTCCAACCTCTAATTGGTAGGTGTGCATTTGCAGCAGAGACTCGCTAGGTGGCGCCATCACCCCATCTGTGCCCCCCATCGCCATGCTGAGTGCCAGCGGCCCCGCAGCCAGAGTGCCTTTTGTGCTCGGCTGGGTTTCAGGTTTCCAATAAAATAGCAGCTTCATTATAAGCCTGGAAGGTCCTTGTTCGGGACAAAACACAGAGAACACCCACTGCAGCCTTTTTATAGTCGGAGATGCCATGTAACGTGGAGGTTTCTGTCCACTCCTCCATGACAATGGACTCCAGGCAGAAACCCCCCCCCAAAAAAAACACTATTAAAAGGAGACTTAATGGGGTGACACGCAAGCGCAGTGCATCGTCTTATAATATCAGGCATCCTAATTGTTACTTTGATCTCGCCAGGAGAATCATGACATCAACACTCCACGATGCAGAACACTACAGGCGGGTAAACAGGGGGCAGCTAAGGACCTGAAGGTGCCCATGTAGCTATGGGGTACCAGCCTGTCTGCTTGGTATAGTTAAAGCAGAACGCCAGCCAAAAACAACAAGATAAACCAAAACGGTCTATTAAAAGGATAAAAGAACAAAATCAGCTTTTGCTGCAATATTCAGCTTTAGTCCAGAGATTTCCCACGCAGTACTTTATTTTTGCTACTAGTCGGATGGCTAGCATCATTCAACCCACTTACTCTGAGCCTGGATCCTCTAGGACCCATCCCCAGGCTGTGACTGGACAGTGAAAGAGGAAGCAGTACAGTAATGAACCCTTTTCTCTATCATTCTGATCTCTCCTCTTATCAGCATGCTTCTTGTCACCAAAGGAACGGATTGGCTTCTTGTGCTGCTTCTTTCTCTCACCCTCCAGCCCTACTGTACAGGGACTGCAGGGGGCTGAGACCAGGCCACATGCACGTACTTGCCACTTCTTGTATTTAAAAGGAGAACTATGAGGGGGGTGCTTTTCACTCACCTCATAGTTCTAGCCGTCCTGTGACAATGAGACTGTCACAGGTCGGCTCAGTAGATCGGGAGGTGAGCGAACACATACCGGCGTTCGCTCACCTCTCGATCCTGTCACGGCTCTCTGACGTGACAGGGGAGGGGCTGGATTCCCCCCTCCTCCAGCGCTGACTGGCGGAACGGACGGGGGAGGGGGCGGGTACAGCTGGCTCTGCCTCTAGATAGGTAGAGCCAGCTGTCAGTCACGCAGCTGGACGGATCCCGGCACAATTGTCGGGATCCGCTTCAGCTGCGGCGCCTTAGTATACCGCGAACTGTAGCTCGCGGTATAGTGAGCTTACGGTGATGGGAGGACGCTAGTTTGTGTCCTCCCGTTACCCTAAGGAGAACTATGGGGAAAAGCCCTGACCCCATAGTTCTCCTTTAAGAAATACATTTGATGCTGTAAAAATCTGCATGAAGATCGGCTTTGGGGAGGAGTTAAGAATTTCTGAATAAAAATGTAGACCAGATGAGACGAGACAGAAAGGGAAGAGACGGGAAGGGAAGGGATGAGAAGAGACGGGAAGGGAAAAGACGAAAAGAGACTGAAAGGGAAGCGATGAGAAGAGACGGGAAGAGAAGGGAAGAGACGAGAAGAGAAGATACGGGAAGGGAAGAGACGAGAAGAGACAAGAAGAGAAGGGAAGGAAAGATACGAGACGGGAAGAGAAGGGAAGGGAAGAGAAGATACAGGAAGAGAAGAGAAGGGAAGGAAAGAGACGAGACGGGAAGGTAAGATAAGAGACGGGAAGAGAAGGGAAGAGACGGGAAGGGAAGAGAAGAGAAGAGACGAGAAGGGAAGGAAAGATACGAGACGGGAAGAGAAGGGAAGGGAAGAGAAGATACAGGAAGGGAAGAGACGAGAAGGGAAGAGACGAGAAGGGAAGGAAAGATACGAGATGGGAAGAGAAGGGAAGGGAAGAGAAGATACAGCAAGAGAAGGGAAGGAAAGAGACGAGACGGGAAGGGAAGATAAGAGACGGGAAGAGACGGGAAGGGAAGAGAAGATACAGGAAGAGAAGGGAAGAGACGAGAAGGGAAGGAAAGAGACGAGACGGAAAGGGAAGATAAGAGACGGGAAGAGAAGGGAAGAGAAGAGACGGGAAGGGAAGAGGTGGGAAGGGAAGGACGAGAAAAGACCGGAAGAGAAGGGAAGGGAAGGGAAGAAAAAGCAGCAGATCCATTTCTCAAACAAAGAAAAGTGGATTGTGGGAAAACATCAACGGCTGGCAGAAGAGTTTTGAAGAGATTTAAAATATTTTAAGAATAACAATAATAATATTTACATAATAATAATACTGCAGTACCTGAGAAGCCCTCTCTGACCCGGCCAGGTCTATCATGAACAGCCGTCCCATCCGCACCTCCTGAGTGATGTTCTTGATGCGATTCTTCTGTCTGACGGTGACTTGGAGGATGGCGTGCGACCGTGAAGACGTTTTATTGGCCGCCGTGGGCTCCTGCGTCCTCTGCTTATTCCCTTTCATCAGCAGCTGCATGATCTACAGGAGAAGGGAGAAGGGAGAGGTCAGAACCTGTCCTGCCGAGGATAAAATGTCACCAAAAATGTGAATTCTTTTTCTACAGCAACCTACTGATAGCGTTTAACATTTTACCTCTTTGGCATTGATGGTGGACACCTCTGTAATACCAGAGACTTGGATGACACCCTTTGAGTCCTCTCGCAGGTCCAGGTAGCCCAGTGATGGGTTCAGCAAGTCCCGGATCATTTCATTGTAGATCTGTGCATTGAAGAGGACACAGGTTACAAGTAGGAAAAAGTTGAGTCTCCGAATCGTCAATGAGATTAAGGCCCTCTACACCACCATTATATATGGAGGACACGATTATGGCTCTCTACACCACCATTATAGATGGAGGACAGGATTATGGCCTTCTACTCGCTATTATAGATGGCGGACGCGATAACGGCCTTCTACACCACCGTTATAGATGGCGGACACCCCTCTACGCCACCATTATAGGACAAGTAGGATGGCGAGGAGTTGGCATTAGTAGTCTGTTGCTTTGTAATAACTTCAATAGAGCCAGTGTTGGTGTGTTTGCCCCTCAAGGCCCCCTACTGTCCTAGCCCCGCCCTAAACCTGCACCACCCGCACCCAGCACTGCCCCATCCCCCTAGCCAAAAACAGGCACCGCCCTTCCCCCTGCACCACCAGCACCACGCCATCCCCCTGGACCTGTACCCCAGCACCCACATCCCCACCTTTGCCTCAGGCAACAAGAATTGCAGGGATGACCCATCTGCCAGAAATTGAGCAAGCTGATAACTTCCTGTGGTGCACTCTGATCAGATACATTGTTTCCAGCTAGCTCTGATGACTACAGAACACCCCATGCCTATGTTATAGAAATGAGGAGAGGGAAAGGTGTTCCGTAGTGCTATTACACTTCACATGTTCGGGTGACAACGCTGCTCCTTCATAGGTATAGTACAGTGAGTGAAAAAGTTGCCATCTTAGGACAGGAAGGGTGTTACTGGCAGGAACACCAGGTGAAAAAAAAGGGAAGAAAGCCTGAAAAAAGAAAACGAATGGAGCCGCCATATCTAAGGTTTGGTAAGCTGTAATATGTTACATTACATTGTTACATTATGTTACATTGATGTTTTTGGGGTTACATACACTGTAGTTTAATTCCCTTATCTCTGACACTAGCACTAAACTAACTACGCTGTGATTTCGCCGTGTAGTAATAAATGAGCTTTCTGTTGATTATGCGTTATGAGTGCGTCTTCAGCCGGCCGTACACCGGTAGATTATCGCACCAACGTTCTTCGTAGGTTGGCACCGCGCAGCCGGCCCCCTTAAGATACAAACTAGCCGTATTCTTTATCTCCATTCACTTGAACAGCTGCTTGCCCTTTAATTAGAAAATCGTCCCTTGATCTCCAGCACGGGATCGGACTGCCGAGGGATTCTGTGTCGCGGACGGGGACACTCAGACGGTGGAGAATAAGTAAACAGCAGCGCCGTGGAGGTAACACAGCCTGCCGTGTGTTTACTTCCATTCTCCATTTCTTGCCCCGGCTCCCTGTTTCCCAGTCTGGTTGCTCCGGAGAGCGTCGTGTGCAAATATTGCACAGGCCATAAAGTAACGCCGGTGACGCAACAGGAGAGGCACGGCTTCGAAGCCTGACTCCTGCCGTCGCCATGGCAATTATCTGCCCCGCTCGCGAGGATGTTGCAGGGCGATCAAACTGTAAATGTTATCAGGTCTTCCTGGCGAAACAAGAGGAGGAGGGCGGAGGGGGACTCGGGAGCGGTCCAGCTATAGGCGTGCGTGCGCTTATCAAGATGAATTAGATCGGCGGTTTATGGCATATGTAGGGCGCGTCCTTTCTGATGAAGGTCGGTCGGCTGAGGACAACGCACACATCTTATTTGGGTGGCGCAACAGCCGGGTGGTTAAAGAAGGGCTCCGGTCTAGAGGAAAAGGAGGAGGAGGTTTTAAAATTGGCGGGGATGACTTCATTATAATACAACTACGGGTTGGCGAGACGGAGAAAAGGAATGCGGATAAATTCACCCAACACCCTATTTCTGATCGTACGGTTGGCATGGTTACACCTGGGAGGGTAGAGCTACAAGGGTGATTTTTAAAGGGTTAGTTCACCTTTTCATAAAAAGTTAACTAACTCACTAACTCACATTTTTTTTCCAATCAACTGCCAGAAGATGGGATTGGAATTGCGCCAAGTGAAGTGAACAAGGTGGAAAAATCCAAAGTTTTTAACAGAATTGCTGCATTTTTTTAAAAGATATTTTATACATTTTTTTTACCCTCAACACTTACCTCTAAATAAGACATGATGACCTCGTACTCCATATCATCGCTGGTCTCCTCGATGGCTTTGAAGAGGTCATTCAGGGTCCTTATGTATATCCCGGGTTCCCGGTCTGTGCCCAGCATCGTGTAGGTCTTGCCACATCCTGCGGGGGAGATAGAGAGCAAGAAGGAGGTCAGACAAAAGGAAAAAAAATGGCTGGAGGTGTGGTCAGCACTAAACATTTGACGAGAGTCTCACCCTACCCCTCAGGTCATTACATTGTCGTCATTACATTGTCACACACAGAGGTCAGGTGACATCTCGGACTTCAGTTGAGTTTTGCTACAATTTGTATACATTGTAATCATAAATTATCATTCTAGAGACTTATTTGTGGAAGTTTTAGATTTGCTTCCTTTACTTAACTGTGGAGCTGAAAGTCAACTGATAGATCAGGGGTAGGTAACCTCGGCCCTCCAGCTGTTGTGGAACTACAAGTCCCATGAGGCATTGCAGGATTCTGACAGCCACAGGCATGACTCCCAGAGGCAGCGGAATAATGGGATTTGTAGCTGCGCCACAGCTGGAGGTTGCTTACCCCTTTATGCTGATAACATGAGTTCTTCCAGACCCAAAATGTGTATAACAGCATCAAATATCACAGCCCCATAGTTGACAGGAATGTAATCAGTGGGCCCCCGCAATGAAATACAACACTGTTGTTGCAGCAATTACGACCGACTGCGACTGAGCCCCCTTTCCAGAAGACCCAGCCCCCCTCTATTACAGATTCATCAACTCTAACTTAAATCAGACTTCCAGGCCTTCCCTTCATTCTTATATCTGACCTCCGTCCTCCCCTTCAGTCTCATATCTGACCTCCGTCCTTCCCTTCAGTCTTCTATCTGACCTCCATCCATCCCTTCAGTCTTATATCTGACCTCCGTCCTTCACTTCAGTCTTTTATCTGACCTCCGTCCTTCCATTCAGTCTTCTATCTGACCTCCGTCCTTCCCTTCAGTCTTCTATTTGACCTCCGTCCTTCCCTTCAGTCTTCTATCTAACCTCTGACCTTCCCTTTAGTCTTCATCTGACCTCTGTCCTCCCCTTCAGCCTCATATCTGACCTCCGTCCTTCCCTTCAGTCTTCTATCTGACCTCCGTCCTTCCCTTCAGTCTTCTATTTGACCTCCGCCCTTCCCTTCAGTCTTCAATTTGACTTCCGTCCTCCCCTTCAGTCTTCTATCTGACCTCCGTCCTTCCCTTCAGTCTTCTATCTGACCTCCGTCCTCCCCTTCAGTCTTCTATCTGACCTCCGTCCTTCCCTTCAGTCTTATATCTGACCTCCGACCTTCCCTTCAGTCTCATATCTGACCTCCGGCCTTCCCTTCATGAATGCTTTATCATGTGTCCTCTTTTCTTGGTCACGTGAGCTGCAATGTCACATGACCAAGGACAATATCTGATGCAGCGAAGGGGGCCCAATCTAGTACTCTGGGCCTCTGACGCTACGTCACTAAAAAGCAGCAAAGTCTTTACAAAACCGATATAGCTTTATAATAAAGACATTTTGGGGGGGTGCAGAGGGAGATTGCGGAGTTCCCCTTTAAGCCCCTGAAACCTAGAAGTGAGCAAAGGCCCAAAATGACGGTTTATGTTCTGCGCAATTCCTGATCGCCCGCCGTAATTGCTTCCCATTAGTCAATGCCGCGATGATGAAACATTCTGAATGGAACCCGACGTCCTAATTGCTGGTTTGACGTTACTTTGAAAGGAATGACGATTATAGAGAATACGCAGGAAACGGGAAATAAAACGCACGCGGTAATTGGATTATTAGGCCGACAGCGAAGTGCGGAGTTTAATCAAATGAAGGAGAATGAAATCAGATATTTCAGCTTCGGACATAAGGAGCCGGAAAGCTGGGAAACCAGTCTAGTTTTACTACTATTCAGGGGC